CCCGAGAGCTGCATGCACTTCCGCAGCATGTTTGTGCATCCCCACTCTCAGAAAAGACTGTTTCACATGCTCTCCTCGCTGCTCCTCAACCCCCACTTCCCCAGTCGGCCGTCTCGCTCTCAGCTGGTGACCTTATCTCTCACTTGCTGGAGAGGAGGTGGGTTAATCTGCTGAAGAACTCAGATCCAGCCAGGCACAGGGGCTCCTGCCTAGATCCCGGCACTTTAGGAGACAGGCAGGAGGATCTCTTGAGGCCAGGAGTTCAAGACCAGCCTGGACAACATAATGAAACCCTGTCTCTACAAAAATAAAAATGTCAGCCAGGCGTGGCGGCACGTGCCTATAGTCCCAGCTACTCAGGAGGCTGGGCCAGGAGGATTATTTGAGCCCAGCAGGTCGAGGCTGCAGTGAGCTCTGATGGTGCCACTACACTCCAGCCCGGGCAACAGAGCGAGACCCTGTCTTAAAAACCAAAAAACAAACCAGCAAAACTTGGGTCTCACTCAGACGCTGTCCTCCTGCTCCCTTCGGTAACGCATCCCAATTCCCATCAAAAGCCAGTTCCAATGTTTTTTAGAACCTCCTCCCACCTTCTGGCTGTCTCAGGACCTTGCTTCCACAATCGCCCTCTCGCTCCCCTGCTCTGTCCGTCTCTCCCTCTCTGCCTGATCATTCTGCATGGGCATGGAGACATTCTCTATCTCCCATTGTTAAAACGCCTTCCCGGACAGGCACGGTGGCTCATGCCTGTAATTCTAGAGCTTTGGGAGGCAGAGTCTGGAGTGTTGCTTGAGGCCAGGAGTTTGAGACCAGCCTGGGCAACATGGCGGGACACTGTCTGCACACACACACACACACACACACACACACACACACACACATATGCACACAAAAGATAGATGTATTACATGTATATGTTTTTAAATAAACAAATAAAATGCCTTCCTGAGCGCCAGGACCTCCCCACCTATCACCCCATTTTCCCACTTCCCCAGGCAGCATTATGCTTTGAAAGCTTTCTCTATCATTTACCCTCCTCCTCTTCTAAACCTCTTGCAGTTGACAACTCCACACTGGTTTTCCCTCAGCCCTCCTTGGCCGCTCCGCCTCAGCTATCTTTGCTGGTCCTTCCTACTCTGCTTAAGATCAGATGTTGGCTTTATCCTGGGAGCCTTCTCTCTCCTCTTCCTACAGTCTCTCTCCAGGTGACCTCTTCCAGGCACACTGTGTTATTTATCATTCACATGTGATTCACACATTTAAGTCTTCGGTTCTGACTACTCCCTGAATAGCAGACCTGGCCCTTCACCTGTATGCTTGCTATCCCTGCTTAGATAGAGAATAGGCATTTCAAGGTCGGGCACGGTGGCTCACACCTGTAATCCCAGCGTTTTGGGACGGAGGTGGGCAGATCACCTGAGGTCAGGAGTTCAAGACCAGCCTGACTAACATGATGAAACCCTGTCTGTACTAAAAATACAAAAATTAGCCGGGCATAGTGGCGGGCGCCTGTAATCCCAGCTACTCAGAAGGCTGAGGCAAGAGCCTCATACAGCCTGGTGGGCCTACATAGTGAGTCTCAGGTGTATATTCTTCATTCATTCATTCAAGAAACTTATGTGGAGCTTATTTTGTGCCCAGTGCTGTTCTAAGTGCTTTATAAATATAAGCCACTGAATCCTCATACCAGTCTATGAGGTAGGTACTATTATTATCCCCATATGACAGGTGAGGAAACTGAGGCCCAGAAAGTCAACCTACCCAATGTTACAAAGCTGGTAAGTGACTGTATTAGTCAGTTCTCACATTGCTATAAAGAACTACCTGAAACTGGTAACTTGAAAAGAGGTTTAATTGGCTCATGGTTCTGCAGGCTGTACAGGAAGCATGGCTTGGGAGGCCTCAGGAAACTTATAATCACGACAGGGGGTGAAGGGGAAGCAGGCATGTCTTACACAACTGGAGAAGGAGGAAGAGAGTGAAGGAGGAGGGGCTACATACTTTTAAACAACCAGATATCTCACGAGAACTCACTCGCTATCACGAGAACAGCAAGAGGGAAATCTGCCCCCATGATCCAGTCACCTCCCACCAGGCCCCTCCTCCAACACTGTGGATTACAATTCGACGGGAGATTTGGGTGGGGACACAGATCCACACCATATCAGTGACAGAGCTGGAAGCTGGGCTCTCTCTTTCACTTTCCTGGCTTTGCTTTCCTCTGGGCTCACCTTGTGATGCGCTTGACGTTGTCTCTTAATTCTCAGCCCCCCTGGACTCAACACTCCTGGACTTAACAGAATTCAGCTTCCTCATTTTGGACTAGCCAAGGGCAGGGCTAGGAGTCATGACAGCTCTTCCTGCTCTAAGTTCTGGGGAGCACCACACCCAGCCCAGCTCTGGCCCCCTGGCCAACATCCCCCCATTTCCAGTGTTCTCCAAGGTTTCCTTGGGGCCTGGAGGAAGCATACCCACCTGACCACACCGGTTAAGAATTCCATTTATAGTTTCAGGAGTTGGGAGATTCCAGAAACCACAAGGAGAGATTTACAGCTGTGGGTTTCCTGGTGTGAGTCCAAGCCAGGAAGTAATCACGGCAGCAGGAAAGCCTCATTCATTTAGTCTCCTCTAATTCAGGAGGTGCAGTAACTCACCAAAAAGTCACTTTTTAATTCAGATGAGTTGGAAATTATGCCTTCTGATGAGGATTTGTAGGACAGATGCTGGGGGTGGACCTTGCTTTACAGAATTAACATGCTTTTGAAAACATAGGCAAGGGTCAGATTTTTGAAGCAGAATCTTTAAAATGCAATCAGAGAGTTCCACCAAGGTATCTTTACGTGAACTGTAATTTTTACTTATTGAATTTCCTTAAAGCATGGTCTTTCATATTTGGGGATAAATAGAATTTAATTTAGGAATCAATGCTTTTCTAAACTAATAGTTCAGAAAATTAATTATTTTGCCAATAGGCTAAGTCCAGCTTCTGGGTGGGAGATTTTGTATTAAAATACTGTTGTGCTCCTACTACCCTGGCATAAGGAGTGGTCCTTCTCATGAATATTCCAGCCCTCAGAAAAGGAACTGGCAGAAGACTAAGAAAGGGGTCAACACCCTTCTGAGTGGAAACAGCTTCAATTCCAGAAAAACTCAGCACTGGGCAGTAATAAAGAGGAGAGACTTGTCCCTTCAGAAAACAGATTGTATTGTAAAGTTACAGTGATTAAAACAGTGTGGTACTGATGCAGGAACACAGAGAAAGATCGGTGGGACAGAATGACAAGTTAGGAAATGCACTCGTGTATTTGTGGGACTTGGAATATGGTATAAAAGTGTCCCTTAAAATCAGCAGAGGAAATACAAAAATTAGCCGGGTGTGGTGGTGCGTGCTTGTAGTCCCAGCTACTTAGGAAGCTGAGGTGGGAGGATCACCTGAGCCTGGGAGGTGGAGCTTGCAGTGAGCCCAGATGGAGCCACTGCACTCCAGCGTGGGTGACAGAGCGAGACTCAGTCTCAAAAAAAAAAAAAAGTTTATTATTTTTTTTTAAAATGTAATCTATGCAGCAGACAGGGTTAATCTTCAGACCATACAAAGAATTCCTGCCAATTGATAAGGAAAAAGATCTTTAAAAACAAAAAGAAAATTGGCAAAAGATACAGACATTCAAAGAAGAAGAAATAGAAGTGGTTAATAAATGTGAAAAATGCTCAAGCTCACTAGTACTAACAGAAATATGATAGGCTTTTGGGGAACCCTTTCTCCCATTGGCAGCCAGGCAGTTCTCTCTCCTCTGTCTTAAAAGAGTAGAAGTTCTACAAAACACTGAGAAAATAATGGTCCCCCAACCCCAGCCAAAGCCCACTCTACAGCTAGCTCTTCTTACTAGATGGGGGAAAATGCTTTAAATATAAACAATTTAGCCTCTAATCCCAGCACTTGGGGAGGCTGATGTGGGAGGATTTCTTGATCCCGGGAGTTTGAGACCAGCCTGAGCAACATAGCAAGACCCCCACTTCTACAAAAACGAAAATACAAAAAATTGGCCTGGCATAGTGGCATGCACCTGTAGTCCCAGCTACTTAGAAGGCTGAGATGGAAGGATCACTTAAGCCCAGGAGGTTGAGGCTGCAGTGAGCTATGATCATGCCAGCCTAGGCAACAGACTAAAAACAAAAAAATCCATGAAGTTGATTTCATGACTCACTAAGACTTGTGGGCTAAATCTGCCCCAATGCCTGTTTTTGTAAATAAAGTTTTATTGGAATACAACCATGCTCACTCATTTCTGTATTGTCTGCAGCTCCTCTGGTGTTACAACAGCAGAGTTGAGTCGTTCCAACAGAGACCATGTGGCCCACGGAACCTGAAATATTTGCTTCTCTGGCCCTTTACAGAGAGTTCGCTAAGCTATATACAGATCCGACTCTGCATCTCCTTTGCTTAAATTTTTTTCAGAGCTCCCCTTTGCCTTCTGGCCCAAATTCAAGCCCCTTAGTCTGACTTAGAAAACCACTAACCTCTGAGCCAGAAGTGGTGGCTCATGCCTGTAATCCCAGCACTTTGGGAGGCCGAGGCAGGAGGATCCCTTGAGTTCAGGAGTTTGAGACCAACCTGGACAACATAGTGAGACCCCATCCTTACACAAAGTTTTAAAAATTAGCCAGGCATTGTGGTGCACGGCTGTAGTCCCAGCTGCTCAGGCAGCTGGGGTGGGAGGATTGCTTGAGCCCAAGAGTTGGAGGCTGCAGTGAGCTATGATCGTGCCACTGCACTCCAGCCTGGCAACAGAGCAAGACCCTGTCTTAAAAACAAAAACAAAGAAAGAAAAGAGAACTACCCCGTCCGGCCTCCCAAGCTCTGTTCCTGCTGACCTCCCTTACCCAGGGGTCCCTGTTCTCCACAGTGATCATAGGCAGGCAGGCAGCAGAGAGGCCGTGGGTGTGTGGGGACAAAACCCTTCCTTACTTCCTGACACTTTTCTCTGCTCTCTGCCCCGCAGGCCTCCTGGGAATGGTCGCCCACATGATGTACACACAAGTGTTCCAGGTTACCGTAAGCCTCGGCCCTGAAGACTGGAGACCCCATTCCTGGGATTACGGGTGGTCCTTCTGGTAAGTGGCTTTGACCTTCAGGACAAGAGCAGCTTCAGGCACCAGAGGCCCAAGGCATGCTGGGACTTCAGCAGCTCAGCCCAGTGGGGTGGCGTGGTGGGAGAAATGGGGAGAGTTGGAGGGACTGCAGTCCAAAGGCACTTTGAGACCCCAGGGCAGAGATTGGCAAACTAGGGCCGGTGGGTCAAATCTGGCCCACCACCTGTTTATATGCAGCCCTCAAGCTAAGGATAGCTTTTGGATTTTGAAATGCTAAGAAAATAAATCAAAGGAAGAGGAATGCTGTTTTGTGACATGTGAAAATTACATGAAATTCAAATTTCAATGTCCATAAATAAGGCTTTCTTGGAACACAGCTACTGTCATTGTTTTGTATTATCCATGGCTGCTTTAACACTGAGATGGCAGCACTGGGCGGTGGTGACAGAGACTGAATGGCTCACAAAGTCAAAAATACTTACTCTCTGGCCCTCTGCCTACCCCTGCCTAAGAGGCATGCTATGGAAGGTTGGAGATGGAAGCTGGCAAGACCTCAAGTTAGGTGAGCTGTGGAGGGTTCTGGGTGGTCCTGTGGGGTAGGTGGACTCCAGTGAGGGGCTCTGAATACAGGGAACAGGTCAGCACCTCAAAGCGGGGTGTGCATGTGAAAGGCGTGATTAGTCAGGGTTCTTTTGCTTACCAGTGATAGAATCCCAAGCTTAAGTGAACAAGGGGTATTCATTTGTTTGTGTACCTGGAAAGTCCAGGTGGAACAGCTAAGGTGCTCTGGGTTGTGACAGAAACACCTACTCACATCAGTAAGTAAGGAGATATCATACACTGGTTCATGGAAAGGACAAGCACAGCTATGGTGTGGACTTCAGGACATGTTTGATCCAGAGTCACTGAGGTCAGAAGGGCTGAGTTCTCTTCCTCTGTGTAGTCATCTGAGCTTGGCGCCCTCCACATGTTTACTTTGTTGCTGGACTGGCTTCCCTGTTGGGGAGAGCTCTTCCTAAGGCTGGGTAAATCCTCCTTCCCTTGTAGGAGAGAAAAGGCTTGTTCTCCCATACTGACTAGAGTCCCAAACTTCCCTCTGGTGGGCTTAGGTCATGTTCTCTCTCCTTAATCATTGCCACAGCTGGGGGAATGTCATGAGCTTATTCCCTTAGCTTGACCGAGCCCACCTCTGGAGCTAAGAATGAGTCAAAACCTCTCAAATGGTGAGTGGATGGAATAGATGCTGTGTGAGCTGCCACAAAGTCTGCTTCAGGCACAGCTGGATCCAGGTGACCAGATTTCATCTGGAACCCAGTCATGCCCTCTCCTTATCTTGTCTCTCTCTTGTCTCTCTTCCCTATGAATTAGTGTTGGCTTCATTCTCAAACAGCTTTTCCCCCAATGCTAGCAAAGATGATCACAATGCACAGACTAGGCTTCCTTTTTTTTTTTTTTTGACAGAGTCTCTGCTCTGTCACCCAGGCTGGAGTGCCAGACTTCCATCTTAAAAATGTAGCAATACCAGCAGAGAGATGGGGTTTCTTTCCCGTATTTCCAGCTAAAATCCTGGTTATGACTTTCATTGGCTTAGCTTAAGTCATGTGACCAAACCTGAACCAATGATTTAGACTCTGGGGGAGACTGGAATGACCTGAGTCGCATGGTCCAGAGAGTGGCATTAGCTTCACCCAAACCCTTGGACAGAAAGAGAAGGAGGTGAAGTCTCTTCAGGCTGGAAAGACAGAGACCACAATTGTCCACTACACAGGGCATCCAGGTCTGGGGCTGGTAGTTGGAGAGCGTTTATCTGTTCAGTCATTTAATACATATTCACTGAGTACTTCCTCTAGGACAGCTGTTCTTCTCGGTGCTGGGGATGCCGCAGTGCTGAGACAGCGTTGCAACAGGGATTGAGACGTGTGAACCAGTCGTATCTGAACTGTGCTGTGATGTAGATGTGTGTGGCGAGGGGAGTTCACAGGCAGCTGCGGGAGCACAGAGGAAGGGCATTGACTGACACAGCTTTGGGTGGGGTGGGTCCCCAGGAAGAATTTCGAAGGCAAAACAGGAGAGAATCGCATGCCAGGCAGAGGGAACAGCAGGTCCAAGGACCTGGAGGTGAGAGAGCATCTCAGCATGGAGCAGGAGGGACTATGATTATAATTTTTAAAAGATCCTATTCCAGTTCAGTGATCACCCCAACTCCATCTCCACTCTCTGCTCAACTCCATCCTTTTAAAACCAAAAGCATTTGCCTTGAAGGGACCTTGGCCCATGAACCCTGGCCCCAATCCCTTTAAGTAGAACAATCCCAGGGAAGCCAGATGAGGCTCTGACCTCCCTTTACCCAACCTTTCCTCCTGCAACTGTTCCTCCCTGAGACCTTGACCTTGGAAGTTCATCTCCTTGAGCTAGAGAAGGGCACAAAGGAAGAGAACTAACATTGGTGAGTGTTGACCATGTGTGTAATAATTTCTTAGATTTACTGAGCACTGATGTGCTGCGAATCAGGTAGGTATTTCATGGAGGCACAGAGAACTTAAGTAACCTGCCCGAGGTCATCCAGCTGTGAAGGGTAGGGCTGGGATTCAAACCCAGGCAGTCGGGCTCCACAGCCATACTGGAAGCCTGTCTGAGAAGATGGGTAATAATCAGAGAGTTCATTGATGTGCTTTCCATCATGTTCCACACATGGTGTGTGCTTAGTCAACACCAGCTCTTATATTGCTGCTCCTGGTATGAAATTTAACACATGCAATATCATGCTAGTAATATGAAATTTAACATGAGCAATATCATGCTACTGATATGAAGTTTAGCACATGCAGTAACCTCGTGTTGCATATGCAGATGCTGAGAGTCAGAAAGGTTGAATCACTTGCCCTGGTGGGAAACGGTTCCTGCCCCTCAGTCCCCCTTTCCAGAAGGCCCTGGCTCTCTCCGCTTGTGCTCAGTGTCTCAAGTCAAGCCTGCTGGTGTCAGCCAGAGGAACACTCTTTCCCTGGTAGGCAGGGCCTTCTGCCCTGCTCCTCTGCTCCTTCCTTAGGGGCTGGCCTCCCAAGGGTCACCAAATTCTCATTGGACTTATTAAAGGCCGAGGCCCCGTGTGCAGCCCCTTTTAGGGTGGATCCATTTCTCCCTGTCACTGAGACCTGTGAGATGGATCAGCCCATTTTTTCATCCCTCACATCTGGGGCCTCACCAGGGCTGCAGCATGTCATCTCTCTTGTTTAATATGTGTGAGGCCGTTTGTCAAAATTCTGGCCCAGGAGCCTCCCCTGCTCCCTCCCCTGGTACTGGAGAGGAGAACAGCTCCGAGAAGAGATGGCACCAGCCTCTGTCTTCCTGCCCAGCAGGGAAGAACAAGCTGCAGGGGCTCTGGAAGCTGGAGGGGTTTTGAGGTGCTCAAAGCCTGTTGAGTGCCAGCTTCTTAGAGGGACACCTTTGTAAGAAGTAGGCCGGGCGCGGTGGCTCACGCCTGTAATCCCAGCACTTTGGGAGGCCGAGACGGGCGGATCACAAGATCAGGAGATCGAGACCATCCTGGCTAACACTGTGAAACCCCGTCTCTACTAAAAATAAAAAAAAAAAAATTAGCCGGGCGCGGTGGCGGGCGCCTGTAGTCCCAGCTACTCTGGAGGCTGAGGCAGGAGAATAGTGTGAACCCGGAGGGCGGAGCTTGCAGCAAGTGGAGATTGTGCTGCTGCACTCCAGCCGGGCGACAAAGCGACACTCCATCTCAAAAAAAAAAAAAAAAAGAAGTAGAAGGTCCCCATAGTTAAGAGTCTGACAGCCTGGGGTTCAAATCTCACCCCGACGCACACTGCTGGGCCACCGTGGCAGTCGACAGTGTGGCCCCTGGAATCAGACAGTTTGGGTTTAGATCCTGCCCCTGCCCCTCATCAGCTGTGGACTTTGGCCAAGTCACTTACCTCCTCTGCACCTCTGTGTCCTCAGCTGGAAAATGGGACAGCCCGAATTTCCACCTCATGGGGGTCTCTTGAATTGTGTTCATTTCTCTATTGAGGTGTACACATCACCCCTAAATCTAGTAAAAATGTGTTATTATGTAGTAATAATAGTAACTAGTAAAAATGCGTTGCTATTTGTTCTTACGTTTGGTGGTGGACCGGGCTCAGCTGGGCGGTGCTTGCTGGGGTCTTCCCTGAAGCTTCAGTTGGATGTCAGCTGAAGCTGAGGTCATCTGGGCATGGCTGGGGTAGACCTCCAAGGTGGCACCTCACGATGCTGGCAGCTGGTGCCAGCTGGTGGTGGCTGGTGGCCGGAGGGGCTTCACACAGTGTGGAGGCTGGGTACGTGGAGTGACTATCTCAAGAGTGAGTGTTCCAGGAGACCCAGGTGGAAGCTACAGGATCTGCATGAGTCAACCTCAGAAGTCACACAGTGTCACTCCTGCTGCATTCTGTTGGTTAAGAGCAAGTGACAGGGCCAACTTCAAGGGGAGGCGTGAACCACGGGAGGTGTGGCTCCCTGGAGGCCAGCTTTGGAGACAGTAACCAACATGAGGAGCGAGTGAATCAACGCATGTGGAGCACTCAGCCCAGTGTGCTCGGTGAGCACAAGTCCTCCTGCCCACTCCTCCTTTTGGCGCCGTGTCTCAGCTCTCTACCTGTGACAATGTCAGGTCAGGACCCTGATGGGTGCCCAAGCAGCTGCTTGGCTTAAGGGGGCAGGGACCAAGTGGATCAGATTAAGGTTGGGGCCGGGCAAAGTGGCTCACCTGTAATCCCAGCACCTTGGGAGGCCAAGGTGGGAGAATCACCAGAGGCCAGGAATTCAAGACCAGCCTGGGCAACATAGCCAGACCCAATCTCTAAAAAAATAAAAAATAAAAAAAATTAGCTGGAGGTGGTGGTGCACACCTCTAGTCCCAGCTACTCAGGAGGGTAAAGTGAGAGGGACACTCAAGCCCAGGAGGTTGAGGCTGCAGTGACCTGTGTTCGTGCGACTGCACTCCAGTCTGGGCTGGAGGCTCTACCTCAAAAAAGAAAAAGAAAAAA